GCTCGTAAGTATGCATGCTTCAGCTTCAGTAGACACTGAAATTTTCCCAAAGTTTTTGCATCTGGAGACTTTTAGAGCCATACTTAACTACCGCCCCCCCCCCCCGCCCACTCCCTTGCTTTTCTGAAGAGGTGGGAGGAGAGAAGTGGTATGGCTTTTCTGGAATCTTCTAGATGACCACTCTACTCAGAACCTTCTTTATAGGTAAATAATGTCAGAGATGAAAGGGATGGTACAGATCCCAAGTCCAAGACTCTCCTTATGCACAGGGAGAAATTGAGGCTCAGAGACAGGGGTTGTCTGGTCCAAGGTGAGTGGCATGGTTCTAGCCTGGTCTAGAAGCTAAGTTTCTGGATTCTGGATGCCATTTTGTTTTTTGAGTACCGGAAGAGAGATGGTCATCTGGCAGGTGATGGAGTGGAACTAGATGCACCATTGGACCCACCAGAATTGCAATGTGAAGCATGTGGGGGAGGTGGGACTGGTGAGCTGTCTTGCTTCCTATATTTTCCTTGAGTCTGGGCTGAAGCCAAGGAAAACAGAAGCCTGGCTGCTCCTCTCACCAGGGGAAGTCAAAGTGAGGGGCTTTACAATTAGAGTCTGGAAAATCTTCCACCTCACGGCCTCCTCCCTGCACCAACCCCCCCAATCCAGGGAGAAGACTGCGGGGAGGGCTCTGTTGGCAGTAGGGACAAGGTTTCCAGAGTCTGGAAACAAGATGGGCTTCCCCCTCAAGGGGCTCACAATCTTAGGTAAAACCAGACAGACCTTGGGCATAGAGCAAAACCCATTTATCACATACTGAAATTCCATTCACCAGGAACCTGGCAGGAGCCCTGAACCAACCTGCGCGGAAACAGCTAAGCCCGAAGGACCGCCAGCTCCAATCTCAATCCTTACCTGGTGCCCCAGACCCACCCCTATTCCTGCAGCCCTGAAACTTACTTAGCCTGGCCCCCGCCCCACCTGAAACTCCCGTTCCATTTTCAAAGAAGCGGTTTAAGCAGACAATCTGGAAGGGATAGAAAACGTCCCACCACCTTGCGCCAACTTCCCTTACCTCACACTCCCTCCCCAGACCTACAGGTCCCCACCGGATAGTTGAGACATAAGGCAAGGATGAAGGAAGGGTAGCTTCTCTTTGCAAACTCTTTTGGCACCCCCCTTCCTTCCCTCCCCAACCATCTGCCTTCCCGCCCCGGCTCCCGCACCGGGCTGGGGAGCCAACTAAATCTGATCAAAATGCAATTGCCATGTCGTTAAGGTATTTGAATTAAAAAAAAAAAAAAAAAAAAAAAAACAACTCCCGAGAAAGAAAGTATTTGATGGCTAATAATCTCATTTCAATATAATGGGACCTTCTTCTGCAGAGAGCAAGACAGGTTAAGAGATATAATTATGACTTTGCAAACTCTCTCCCAAGCGCGGGAGACGCGCTGACAGGTCTGCGCGCCGCTGCGCCCGACTCCGCTCGCTCCGAGGGGAGACGCTTTGTCTGCAGGGCCCGTTAAAGAAACACGGTCCCTTTTCCCCCCTCGGCCTACATTGCAATTTAACTGTCAGTCGCGTCTTCTCCCCTGGATCGGTGTCGGCGTCCCACGCGAGGGTCTGGGTGGGGTGGGAGAGGGGGACCGGACTGAGAGGAGGGGGAAAGGAGGAGAGCGAGGGGCTGACACGTCAAACGCTGCCCCGGGAATAGGGAGCTGGGCTTTCCAACCCGCTCCCTCGGGGGCTCTTTAAGGTCGCGTCTGCACCGCAGGCTCCGGGAGGAGCGATGATTGGGGGTGGGGAGGGATTCTGGCAGCGCAGATTGACCGCCCAGCTCCGAAGTGGGCCTTTTTGAAGGACCTCAAAGGAACGGAATCCTTCCTGGCCGAATTGCTCGGTTTCAGCTGATGGAAAGGGATCGAATCAGGGGAGAGATGGGGGTGATGCCGTTCATGTCCACTTTAATCCCCCCCCTACACTCTAAGCAAACTTTTTTCCTCTCTTTACTTCAATGGGAGAAAAATACCCGTTTGGAGCTCAGATAGGACATCCTCAAGGAAAGGGGACTTTTCTTTTCTTTTCTTTTATTTCGCCCCTTCACGAAAGTTCGAGAAAGGAAATCTCCGATGCGATGTATACGTGTGTGTTTGGGGAGGCGGGTGGAGGCAAGCGAATGATCCCGCACTCTTTTAAAAAGGAGTATTGATTGCCGTTCAGGTCGAGAGACTTGGGGTAAAGTCAAGGCCAGGAGCTCCAGAGGTGTTTGAGTCGCGGCAGCCATTGAGCTGCGGGCACAGCGGCGCCCAGGAACCCGGGACGCCGACTTGCAAGTGTGACGAGTGTGCGTGCGCGTGAGTGCGCACGTGTGTGAGTACGGCTCCCAGGAGAGCGCTCGGCTCCAAACGCAGTCAATAGTCGGAGCTGAAAAGCGGAGGCAGGGACTCACTACAGACAGACCGACAGACCGACACGCCTGTCCCGAGGAAAGGAGCAGGGGTTAAAGGGGGCCGGAGGCCATTGGGGTCCCCGCCTTCGCTTGTCCCCGATTCTCGCGAAGCTGATGGGAGCTTTGCTCTGGGTATTCCCGGCCGTTCTCTGCACCGCCCACCTTCGCAATGAAGGAATTCGGAGGAAGCGGGTGCGCCACCGCCCCTCCCCAACACTCCAACCCCCAAGCTCCAGGCCCCTCGAACGGTGGCCCGCCAGCGGTGAGGCCCGGGTGAATCTCTGGGCGGTTCTGATCGGCGGGGCCGCTAGGCCACCGGACGCAGCGACCCCTTCTCAAGTTGCTGAGGCTACGGAGCCCGGGTCCCGGGATCCCCTCAGATCCCCGCGCCTGGGGCAGGGGACTGTTTGCACGCACATGCAGCCACGGCGACTCCCCAGAGTCATTCGAGGGGGGAGCAATAAAAACGAGGTTGGCGCTGTCGTACGTCCTGCGTGTACGGTACACCCAGCGGCGTATCCTCGAAGTGGGGTTTGGACAGGAGCAGGGTCATCCTCACTCGCCCTTCGGCTCCCCCTGGCGGCCCGGGACGCAAGTTTTCCCCGCCGCGGAAGAACTGGGGAGGACGAGGTCTCGGGAGAGAAGCGACGCTCACCTGGTTGGGCCGGGCAGGGCACCCCGCGCGCCCCAGCACACTACCCCTTCGGCTTCGTCGGGCCCGCGGTGGCCTTACTGTGCTGTTGCGCCCCTAGCTTCCCGGCCGCGCACCACAGGATGGGAAGGGGACACATCTGGAAGTAGCGCCCCCCCAATCCACTCACTAGGCAGTAGTTTGCCAGGCGGGTTTCTGACACCCCTTGCCATTTCGTCTTGGTGTTTAATGATCCCAGGACTGAGGCCTGGCGCGCGGCCGCCGCAGGGGAGCGATGCCGACAGGAACCATGTGGCCGCGAGGGCGCGGGAGTCGGCTGAGGCTCCCCGGGTGGCGCTCTGGAGGCGGGGCCTGGCCCGGTGGGGGGCGCCGGCTAAGGTGGGCTCGGGCCGGGCGCGCAGCCGTCGGGGTCAGGGGCGAAGGGGCAGGCTGAGGGCAGCGCGCGGGGAGCCGGCGCGGCGGCTCGGGTTACCGCGGCCCGGCCCTCCCACCCGCAGCTCGGGCGCGGGGGCCCGGGCAGACTCGGGCCGTCCCCCGCTGTTTGCATTTCTCTGGCAGGCGGCGGGGCTTGGGTTGAAAGGAATCGCCTCCATTTGGAACGTTGTTTATTTTTCTTAACTAACCAGCGCCGACAGACGACCTCGAGAGCACGGCGGCCGGACTCGGCCGAGCCCTCGCTGGGAAAGGGGTCAGGACAAGGGGCAGCCCGACGAGAGGGCGCTGCGAGCCCCCGCCGGGGGAATGCGCCCGGGTCCCCTCGCGGCCAGGGTGGGGGAAGGGTCGCGGTGGGGCGGAGAATGATTTTCTTCTACGTAGGAAAACATACTTTCTTCTGTCGCGGTTACCTTAGCTTTGACCTTGCGCGAGGCAGGGCGGCGAAGCGGTTAAGCTTTCGGGCTTCGGCGTCCGGCCGCCTTGGATTTCAGTTCCGCTTCCTCCAGTTTTAGCTCCTTGACCTTGAGCAAGGCGTCTTTGTGCCTCAGTTTCCTCTTTTCTCAAATGGATACAACGTAGTGCTTAGCTCTTTGGGTTGTTGCAAGGACTGAATGAGATCATTCACCTAAACCCTTAGCGCAGGGCCTGGAACTTGCCAAGAGCTCAGGAGAGGTTAGCCCCTCTTGGGGCTGTGGGTGTTTGTGGTGCTCTGGCCACGCGAGGGTGCAGCCAGCAACTGCTCGGCCCACAGGGAAGGGGCTAGAGCTGGAGGCCCACGACTCTCAAGCTCTGGGGAGAGGTGCGGGCTGGGGAGAGTTCTGAGCATTTTGACATGATATAAAATGCAAATGATATTCAAAGCAAGATGCTAATGAGGATCTATTCTTTGAGCGTCCACAGCCCCGGCAGTGCCCAGAATAGTGGCGGAGCTGGTGTGAACTCAAGCATGGGCAGGGTCCTGCAGCCCAGGTCTCGGGTGTGTGTGTGCCCGTGTGAGTGTGTGAGTGTCGGCGCGCGCCTGCTCCGGAATGTGCGTAGCCGGCTCCGGGTGTGCTCGCGCCGTCATGAAAATGAGGTCAGGGAAGGTCGTTCCACTCTGCAGCATAAATCAAGGAGGAAAGGAGAATGGATGTGAGAGACAGTCCCTGGAGACCGCCCCGCGAGAGGCAGCGCGAGGGAAGAGGGAGGGGGAAAAAGTTCTGCGGAGAATAGGCGAGAAGCTGGCCCAGGCAATCTCCCTCCCCGCGCTTCTCGCCCGGGCGGCGGGTCCCTTCGCGGAGCAGCGGCGTCCCGAACCCAGCCGAGATTCGCGCCTGTAATCCCCCAGGCTCCTAGGGACTTTTCCTGTCCCCCCCCCATTTAAATGTTCCTCATCTAAGCGCTCTTTGTGTGAACGCTGAAGCTCCGTGCACCCAGCCTCCTCAGGAGCTTGTAGGCGTCTACGTGCACACGCCAGTTGCACACAAAATTTCACACTTGTTACTCGCGCGCACAACCGCCGGGGCTCGCAGTCAAACGTTCCGGAGCCGGCTGCTCTCCGCTATCCTCCCGCCGCGCCCTCTCTCCACGCGGTTTGCCTCCCGGGTCTGGCCAACACCCACTACGGCCGCGCGCGGGCCCCTCTTGCTCTTCGCCTTCCTCCCGCCGTCGGGAGAGCGCGGTGCTCCAGGCCGGTGTTGCTCGGCGCGTATCCTGTGACCCTAACCGGGAATCTCCGGAGGCTCGGGCCGCCCTGGGCCGGAACCGCCCGCCTCCCCTTGGAACCTCTGTAGCGCCCAGAGGCTTTGCTCTCCGCCGGCACGATGGCTACCTCCAAAAATGGGAAGAGAGAAGGGAAGAGGATGGACTGAGCCCAGGGTCTGCACTTTGGACCCAGATCAGATTTATTTCCCATCCCATTCTCTTTGTGACAATGAGTAAGAACAACGATGACACCTAAGAGCCTGTACAGGAGGCACAAAATAGGTGCACTAATGTAGTGAATGAAATGTACAAAGAGCTGTCACCACCACGACTCTTCCTGAGCTTCCACATTTGTAGATTAATTCATTAAGTCATGAATTTATTCAACAAATATTTAGTGAGCTCCGACTGACAGAGAAAAGGGATGTCAAGAGCCTGGCCCTCTGGGCACTTACATTCTCCTGGGACAGAAAGACAGGAAACAGATAAACTCAGACACATCATATGATGTTAGGCAGGGCAGTCCTCTGTGCGGGGAATGAAAGATTATACTGGGTTGGAGAGAGCCTCCTGGGGAGGAGGCAGAGGCCTGAATGAAGTAAGGGAATGAGCCATGCAGACTGCTGGAGGGACAGAGTCCCAGGCAAAGGGAGCTGGCGGTGCAGTGGTGGAGACTTGGGAAGCCTGGGATACAGGCTGGCAGGGAGGAGAGAGGAAGGAGGTGAAATGGAAGGTCAGGCCCGGCTTTGTAGGTCATGGTGGGGAGTTTGGGATTATATACCAGGTGTGATTGCAGAGCCACTGGAGAATTTTTAAACAGGGACTGAAACAACTTGGTTTGTGTTCTAAAAAATGATAAAGAGAATTTAACTAACTTGTCCATGGTTTCCAGGTCTGTGAGTGTCTTAACCCAGATCTCTAAATGTGTCCCCGTCCAAAATAGCAAATAGACAAGCTTAGGCAAGATCGCTCCAGAAGGGGCCCAGGAGATATCGTGAAGGGTACTCTGTCCCTCCCACCCATACTTTTGGGAAGGTTCCGGAATGGGACAATGGGTAGGGTCTCTAAATCTGCCAGCTCGGGAGTCTGGTCTGTGGGCGAGGATCCCCAACCTGAGGATCTCTGGCGTTTTCAATTCCGGATTCCCCACCCCACCTGCTGCCTTTGCCCTGCCTACCTGGGCCTTTACCGGCTGTGGAGACGCTGGAGAGTCGGATCGAGGGCAACCCTGGCACAGGAGGGTAAGACATAGTCTCCCCGACGCTCCAATTCCGCCGCTCTTCAGGCTGCGGGGTTCTTTCCGCAGAGTGAGTCTGGTTGTGCGCAGACCGGCACTGTGGTCCCGCACCGCCGCTCGGTGGCCAAGGACGATACTGCAGCCGGAGTCGGTACAGGATGCAGAACGTACCAGAGACCGCAAGGGGCGCAGGAACAGGTTTAGTGATGGCGTGCCAGGTGCCAGGTGCCGTGAGAGGCGCTTCAGTTACTTTATTTAACCATCAGAGTAACTCCCGGGGAGAGAACTACGATTTCATTCACTATACAGACAAGGAAACTGGGGCCAAGAGAGGCAAAGTACTTTGTTTAAAAACACACAGCTAGTAAGTGGCAGAGTGATTTACCCATTTTCACTCTCTCTTAAGAGGGAAATATTGACCTTCATCCTAGAAAGCTCTCCCTCCCTTTGGCCCCGAAGAATCATCTAGAAAATGTCTTTAGCAGGTGCCCTAAGCTTCCAAGTCCGTCTCTGGAAGTGTTTCAAGGTCCTTTGACCTGCTCCCGTTGAACGCATTTCAAATGGGTCTGCAGCTGGAGACCGGTTCAGGGACAGCAGCACAATTCTGTCCTGCCTGGGGGGTGGGGGGTGTCAGAGGTCTCTGTCTCCTCTCTGAGATTCAGACTGGCTGAGCAACCTTGTCCCTGACGGCGAACAGCAAGGTGCTCTGTGTGGGGAGCTCCTGAACCTCAGATGGCACGAAAGAAGGGGACGCAGGGAATGACCACACTGAGCCCACTCTGTGCGCCTCCCCGAACTTTAATCCCAAGGTTGGGAGACCCATGCTTTGGCTTGGCACTGGGGCTCTCTCTTTATCAGGCCCTGGGACTGCTCAAGCTGGTTTTGCACCTGCAGCTGTCTGGATGGGCAGAGGACTACTGGGCAGAGCCTGTGCCCTTCCCAGGAGATGCTGCCAGTCTCAGCGCGGAGCTGGGAACCGTTCTCCATCCTCTGCTGCCCCCTAGTGCACTAGGATATGGCTGCCGCCGGCCGCATCTTCTTCCTACCTTCTTGCCTTTCTTGGACAAAGGTTTCTTCCAAGAGACCAGACATGGAAGGGTCTGGCTGCAGAACATCCCGGAGCTGTGTCCCCCTAACACCAGGATTATTACCCTCAACAAATATTTAGTAAGGGCCTGCCATGCACTTGGCCGTGTGGGGAGTCAAGAGGAAGCCCTCCCCCAGCCCGCCCCTCCCCTTCTTCAAGACTTGAAGGGCTCACAGTTTAATGGAGAAGACAGACATGAAATGACTCCTACAATCATTTTTTAAGAATCTTATTAACTTTTTAAATAATTATAGATTAATAAAAAGTTCAAAGATAGTACAGAGAGGTCTTGGGTACCCATGCCCTGCCTGTGTGGATTCTTGAAACCACCACTGCAATCAAGATATCAAGATAGAGAACTATTCCAGCACCACTAAGATCTCCCTGGTGCTCCCTCTTTATACATACACCCATCCCTCCCTCCACCAGTATTCTTAACCATTGACAACCCTTAATGTTTTCCATCTCTACAATGTTGTCATTTCCAGAATTTTATACAATGGAATCATACAGTATGTGGCCTTTTGAAACTGTTTTAAATTCACTCAGAAAAAAATATTGAGATCCATCCAAGTTGTTGCATGTATCAGTAGTTTGATTCCCTGTGATTCCTTTTTATTGCTGAATATTCCGTGGATGTATTACTGTTTATCTGCTGAGGAGCATCTGGGTTGTTTTCAGTTTTTGGCTATCAAAATGAAGCTGCTATGAAGTCATGTACAGGTTTTTATGGAGACATAAATTTTTATTTATCTAGAATAAATTACCTAAGAGTGCAATTGCTGTTTCCTTCTTTCTTTTTTTTTAGAGTTATTTATTTATTCTAGAGAGAGAGGGAGCACGAGCAGGGGAGGGGCGGAGGGAGAGAGGAAGAATCCCAAGCAGACTCCCCGCTGAGCGCAGAGCCCATCCCACCGCCCTGAGATCATGAGCTGAGTCAAAATTAAGAGTTGGCTGCTCAACTGACTGAGCCACCCAGGCACCCGCAATTGCTGTTTCTTACGTTAAGTGTATGTTTAGTTTTTAGAAGAAACTGCCAAATTATTTTCCAGAGTAGCTTACCGTTTACATTCCCACTAACAATCTATGAGAGATCCAGTTTCTCTGCATCCTTGCCAGCATTTGGTAATGTCACTATTTTTAATTTTAGCTATTCTAAGAGGTGCATGGTAATATCTCATCATGGTCTCAATTTGCATTTGCTTAATGGCTAATGATGTTGAACATCTTTTCATGTGCTTATTTGCCATTGGTGAGATGTCTGCTCATGTCTTTTGCCTATTTTCTAATGGGATTGTTTATTTATTTATTTTTACTGTTGAGTTTTGAGAGTTCTTGATATATTGAGATAGGAGTCCTTTGTCAGATGTGTGATTGGCAAATATTTTCTCCTAGTCTGTAGATTGTCTTAACATTGTCATAACAGGGTCTTTTGTGGAGCAAAAGTTTTTAATTTTGATAAGTCCATTTGTGGATTTTTTTCTTTTGTGGATTGAATCATGCTTTCAGCGTTACATCTAAGAACTCTTCACTAAGCCCTAAGTCTCCAAAATTTTTGTCTATGTCATTTTCTAAGTTTTTATAGTTTTATGTCTTACATTTAACCCTGTGTTCCATTTTGAGTGAATTTTTGTATAAGGTGTGAGGTTTAGATCAAATATCTTGTTTGTTTTTTTGCTTTTAGATATCCAATTGCTCTAGCATCATTCGTTTAAAAGACCATTCTTCCTCCATTGAATTGTTTTTGTATGTTTGCAAAAAGTCATTTGGGTGTTTATGACAACATGGATGGATCTTGAAGACATTATACTAAGTGAGATAAGTCAGACAGAGAAAGACAAATACTGTATATCAATGATATGTGGAATCTAAAAAAGCCAAACTCATAACAGAGTAAAATGGTGGTTACAGGGGCTGGGGGCTGGGGGCATAGGAGAGATGTTGTTTAAGCGTGCATACCTAGTAGATAAGCAAGTCCTGGAGATCTGATGTATATAGACAACAATACTGTATTATAATCATCAAACTTGTAAAGAGACTAGATCTTAGTTATTTCCACCATAAAAAAAGAAATGATAATTATGTCATGTGATAGAGGTGCTATCACCACAATGGCAATCTTGTTACAGTGTATAAATGTATCAAATCAGTCTGTTGTACATCTTAAATATATACAATGTTATATGTCAAATGTTTTTCAATTAATAATATTTCAAATAAAAAATCAGCCGGTAATCATATGTGGGTCTATTTCTGAGTTCTCTGTTCTCTTCTACTGATCCCTCTGCCAATACCCCCCAGTTTTATTACTGCAGCACTGTAATTTAAGCCTTGAAACTGGATAGAATGATTCCTCCCACTCTATTCTTCTTCTCCAGAGTTGTTTTGGCTCTTTAGTTCCTTTGCCCTCCCACACAAGTTTTAGAAGAATCTGGTCTATGTCTTTCTGGGATTTTAATAGAAATTACATTAAATCTCTATATCAATTTTGGAGGAACTGACATTCTTACTATATTAAGTCTTGCAATCCATTTATTTAGATCTTCTTTGACTTCTTTCATTTGAGCTCTCAGCATATAATTCCTGCACATATTTTGTTAGATTTATATCTGAGTATTTTACCTTTTGTGAGTGATTGTAAATGGTGTTGGATTGTTAATGACGATGTTCACATGTTTATTGCTAATAAATAGAAATACAATTAATTCTTGTATCCCATGACTTGCTGAATTTGCTGATTAGTTCTAGAATTTTTTTTTGTAGATTCCTTGGGACTTTTTTTTACATAGATCATTATGTCATCTGCAAATGGGGACATTTTATTTCTTCTTTCTGATATGTATGCCTTTTATTTCCTTTTCTTGTCTTATTGCATTGTCTAGAACTTCCAGTACTATATGAATAGCAGTGGTGAGAATGGACATTCTTGCCTTGTTCCTGATCTTAGGGAGAAACACTCAGTCTTTCACCATTTAGTATGTCAGCTGTAGGTTTTTTTTAATAGGTGTTCTTTATCAGCTTGAGGAAGTTCCTCTTTATTTCTAGTTTTCTAAGAGTGTCATGAATGGATGTTGAATTTCAAGTGTTTTTTGTACCTCAATTGATATAATCATGTGATTTTTTTCCTTTAGCCTGTTAATATGGTGAATTACACTGATTGATTTTCAAATATTGGATCAGATTTTCATCCCTGGAATAAGCTCCACTCGGTCATGGTATATAAGAATTTTTATATATTGCTGAATTCTATCTGCTAATATTTTAAAAGATTTTTTTACATATATATATGAAATGGCCAACTTAAGCCTAATTTATCAATAATTACCTAATTGCTAACAAACACATTCTAACATCTATGCATCTCAGTGTTAGTGTCTTTTGATTATCTTTTCTCATTCAGTTTGAGATCTTTCTGGTGTTTGGAGAGATGAATAATTTTCGATTGAATCACGGGCATTTTGGGTGTTATATTATAAGACATCAGATTTTTTTTTAAGATTTTATTTATTTGAGAGAGAGAGAAAGGGAGAGAGAGAGAGGCACAGAGGGAGAAGCAGGCTTCCTGCTGAGCAGGGAGCCAGATATAGGGCTCAATCCCAGAACCCTGGGATCAGGACTTGAGCAAAGGCAGATGCTCAAGGCTTGAGCCACCCAGGTGCCCCAAGACACCAGATCTTATTTAAATCTTATGTTTTAGCAGGCCTTCCTGACACTGGGTGAAGGTGGGTGTCCCCTTATTACTGCCAGGTGGGGGTGGAAGTCTAGATTCTCCTCTTGGCCTCCTGGACTCCACTAGTCCTCGGACATCACCCCGCAGGAATGGGGAGAGGCGCCTCATCACTACAGGACTTTGTCAGAGGAGTGGTGGAGGGGAAGTCCAGTCTCCCCACGTGGTCTCCACTGATTTTACCCCCAGAAGTAGGATGTCCTGGCTTCCTACTTGGCCTTCCCTGGCTCCACCACTAGGTGGTGGGGGTGCCTTCTTACAGCCTGGCTGTGGAGAGTGGGGTCTAGGCTCCCTTCTCAGGCTTTGCTGGGATGGGGTTTGG